GTCTGCAATTAATTTTAATCGTTCACAAAAAGTACCTAGAAAGTTAAAACGTGAAGTATTTGCTTACAGTTAAACTGAACGATGGAACTTGCATTCATTTAATACCTGAATATTCTCAAGCAATTTGTGCGCAGTGAAAGAGCGAGCGAAGTTTTAATTTAAGTTCTACAACAAATAAACGCTCTCGGTGAGTCTTCCCAAGTCCGTTCAATTTGAGCATTTGTACCGTAAATTGCACAACAGAAACTGAAGTAATTTTTTGAGAAAAGACCGCATTAAATCCCCTTGTGTCTCGTTGGAGTGTGCCATTCGAATTTAGTTTTTGTGAAGGAAAGACCAGATTTACACACGCCATTCCAGCAAACAAACGGGCAAACTCTCACAACTTCAAAATAAAAAAATTTAATTTACTCAGAATTACTTTCCTCGACGTTTACTTAATGAACAGAGGTAAATCTTCGTACATGAATGAATCGTCGATGAGAGTGAATAATACTTTCCGTTAGATCATTGACTGTTTTTGAAGAAAACATTGTCGTGACAGTCCTTGCCAAACTAGTTCCGTTGTTTTTCAAATGTTCTTACGCTTTTTTTACTTACGCGCTCTCTAATTGACAGGTGTCAGATTGTGACAGATACTTGTAAAAATGTTTCAAAGTTTGTTTGGAAGCCTTTTAATTATCGTTACGAAAATGAAAATGTTTCGCTGAGGCATCTATCTTGAATTTGCATCACCTCTATTTTAACTACCATTTACTCTCTCAAAAACTGTTTAGTTTATGGAAGATCTTGCCGCATTTACAGCCCTAAATCATTTGGGTTCTTTTGGAAAGAATTTCGTCAAGTTTCAAAAAAAATAAATATGTTATTTACCGGCTAAGGGTCGGTCCGTATGGTGAAAAACTGTGACCTCGGTCTTCTTCAAATTGCACTCGAAATCATGTGATTACGTATATTTATTTCAACTACTAGTTCAGTAGTGGTTATAACTGCGAGGATCACTAATATACGTTTCTTCTACCACAATGCATATATATGATTTAAATTTATTTACAATCACATGAGACAGTGTTGGCATTCCATAGGGTTAAGTCTTACCTTCTCTTTTATTTGGCGAACACTAATCATCACAAGAAAGAATATAACACGAGTGTGTTGTATATGGTCCGTGTTAGCCTTTTATCTGCTAGAAGTGTTTAATATGTAACTCCTCCCCATGATATCAATACTTTATCCGACAAACAGGAAATGAGAATACTAAGACTTATAGATGTTATCTCGATCTGACACCAAATTCTTGTAATTAATTTACAAGAAAATGTGTAGCAGCTAGAGGGGAGAATTAACAATCAGATCTTGAAAATGAAAGAGTTAATCGAGTTTTTTTTTCGGCACGGAAGACACCAATCGAAATTCCTTCTTCAAATTGTCGAAGACGAGAGAAAGTTGACCTTTCTCGACGGTGAACAAAGAGTAGAGACGTGAAATAAAATTTTAGCGCGTAATGCAGTCGTTGAGATATGGGATTTACTCAAACATAAAAGATAGACAACAGATATGGATCGTCTGTTCCAGAACACAATTTCTACAAAATTAAATTAATTCAAACTTCTGGGTGAGTGCGTCATAATTACCAAACGGAAATTGTGCACGTCATCAGCGCGCCTTTGTGCACGCGTTACTTTAGATAGCGACAAAATGCAGAATTTTAAAACTTCTCGAAGGGGACCATCAGCAATGAGAGCCGAGAGATACAGTACTTTGCTTTCTTGTATCTCAAACAATTTCAGTTTTTTAAAAATTAAAGTCATGGCGACCAGATCAGGACACTGAGATGAGTGCTTTCAATTTCTGTTAGCGCTGTTGATCTTGTGGAATTAACGGGTTTATGAGGATGGGTATTTTATGTGGAAAGGGAAAGGGAAAGAGCTTTGCATGATTTGAAAGTGCTTTTCCTGATAAATAAACCTGAATCATACATACCGTTCCTGTATCGGCAGACGTGCTACTGTACCAACCAGCTTTCCAAACAACCGGGACTGACTCTGTTCACCGTTCGGAAATATATGCAAATATGTGGAAACGGCTGTCACTGACCGGACGCCAATGCGATAATATTCCGCATTCCAAATAAAAGGAGCAGTGACTGACAACACTCAAAGTAAATACTTCCTGTCATCGCTTTTTACATAGGCATCGAGTGTCGATCACGTC